ATATATATATCACTTTTTATTGTATATTTAAATAAATAAAAAAATAATGATAATAATCTCATGTTCTCTCCCACACATATAAAATGGTATCTGATTCGAGCGCGAATAAACCCGTTTGATCCGTCTTGACGAGCCTTACACACTCGCGCAGTCCGTTTCACAAAACGAGGTCCCGATCAAAAGATGTTAGGCACAGAACGAAGATGCACGCAGAGGGCTCAAATGCACGCAAAATACTTGTCAAATCGACGTCGACCCGATCACATATATTTTCAAACTTAACGACATACTATATGTGACCAAAAAGAATGAGTCCCAAAGCCGACGACGAATTGAGGTAAAATGTATGATTTGACCCTTCAACAAACACAGTAATGCAACTGTAAACATGTGTATCGACCTACAAAATGCAAGTGACGAGACAGTGCAAGTGACTGGTGCCAAAAAGAAGGTCAACATTTACAATTCTTAATTACTCAATTCTTTTGAAAAAGAAGAGGATTTTTACTCTATTATCAGTCATATGCAAACTAATTAAAAAGCATGAGGGCTGGTGGCTTATTCTTTCATTTAAAAAAAAGAGAAAGGTTGTATATAGAAAGCTTTTGCTAAGGACTAATTATTGCTACTTATCTCCAAAATTAATGGGAGAATGTTCTTGGAGTTTATTGATAGAGGAATTGTTATACTCTTCTCATTAGGTATCACCAAAAAAATTTTACTCAATTTTAGTGAGCTCTATTCTTTTTTTTTTTTCATTGATTATTAGAAAGGGGATTAAAGCTATGCATCCATATTTCTTTATTTTGTAATTTTCCATATTTGATAGTGGATTTCATGTACTTTTGTGTGCAATGTGTGCTCCAAATTTATGCATCATCCCCTTGAGGGAGAGTCTTAGAGAACCTTTCTTGTCAAATTTTCACCTCCTATTAATTTTAATATAAGGTTCTATCCAAAGATTCCACTCTATTTCAGTGATTTCACGATGATTTTATGATTTGGTTACATGTTTCTTATAGGCATAAACCCTTATAGTTGGGATTCTAAATTTATCATTTTACACTTTAAATAGATATAGAACTTTTAATTAAGGCTAATCATTAGATAAACACTAAGTAATAAACATATAATAGCAACAATTTTGATATTAGGATTCTAAATTTATCATCATGCATTTTAAACAGTTGGTGGAAATACCGAGACTTGATCAAGATCCTATGATTTAATCTTCTAAGGATGTCGTAGTCCTTGGTCCACTTAGTAAGAGGTTGCAGTCGACCTAATTTGGACGAAAGATTTTAATTGACAACCATTTATTGCTTTGACGAAGGAAATCTTATAGATTTGGAGTGGATGTTTGTCTAAGAGAACGAATTCAAGATGTTAGCTAATATAAGGTTTTGTATCATATTAACTACTTCATATGATTCATTACTCAAGGGTTTTTATCCATTTGAAAACATATGAGTTTTGATCGTATCTGTAATTTAAAGGTGTCATTATATAATAAAATCTCCCAATCAGAGGGCCTTGGTTTTAACCATTTGACTATGGTGCTATTAGGCATAAAAATTACAGTTATAGGATGGGTCATGTTTTTATTGTCAGGGAATAATTTGAGAATGAATTATAGCAATATGCTTGATTAGCCAATCACCCTTTGTGAGCTAAGGTTATTCTCAAATTTATCTCTCTCGAAAAATGATTGTAGAAGATTGATGTATTTTTACTTTCAAGTTTTGTAAGACTAAATTTTACTTACATAATTGAATTTTAAATAAAATTTTAAGATATATTTTATCTAAATTTGACCCTGAAAAAACCTATTTTAAGATTTAAGGGCATTTTAAAATATATAATTCCTTATGTGTAAATATTAAAGCTATTTGAAATATTTATATTTGCAAAACAAAATTTTAATGGTGTCATTTCAAGACAAAGCCACTTAATTAGAGGACCGTGGTCATAATTGTTTTCTTGTGATATGATTTGGTGGCAAAACCGTTGGCCAGAGAATTTGTGTCACATTCATACTAATGGGAGATTATTTGAAAATGAATCATAGCGATGCACTTGACTAAACATTGACCCTTTATAAGCTAAGGTTAGTCTTAAATTTATTACCCTCGAAAGTACGTGGTTTCAAATAGTAGATGAAATTTCGCTTTAAGTTTTCTAAGGGTAAATTTCACTTAAATATTTGAAGTTGTTTTTGTAAAATTTTCTTATTTAATATTTTTATCTAAATTTGTCACACTGTATTCACACTTGTACGCTTTTCGATTCACCTGCACAATATATTTGTGCGCTTTTTGGTGCAACTATGTGATGGATTTGCATGTTTTTTAGTGCTCTTGTATAACATATTTGTTCTCTTTTCAAAGTAATTGCTAGCTTTTTAATGCACTTTGTTTGTTGTGTTTTTTGTTACTTGTAGAATTATTGTGCTCTAGGCAAGTGTACTCTTTTTGAGTTAATAGTACGCTTCTAGATGTAATGGCCTGCTTCTGCCGACTATACGCTTCTTGAAGCAACTATATTTTGTTTTGTGAAAATATTCGAATTTAATTGCTTGGCTGGCATTCTTTGTTAAATATGTGCAAATTTTTATGTTTTTTTTTTTTTAATTTAAAATGTCTTCTATTTATGTGTTGTGGATCCAATGATGTTGAATGTAAAATAGGAATCATTTCATATTTTTCTCATTGTTGAAATTTTGTTTTTACTTAACTATATAATTTGTGTATTCAGTAAGAGACAGAAAGTTTTGTTGTTGCTTGTAAGAGAGCTGCCATGTCATTATAAGTCTCCTATTTATGTTCAATGATAAGAAATATATCTATGACCCAATACGCATCCAAAGTCAAAGCAAAGGTGGACGACACAATTGTTGTTGTAGGATTTCCTTTTGATCCCAAAGACATCCTTTATATCCTCAGTGAACTACCACCAACCTATCAAGCCTTTAAAATAATGAATCAAACAGATCTAAAACCCATAAACCAAGAAGAGTCATATTCTTTGCTTTGTTGTGAATAAACCAATATTGCAAATGAGACATGAGACTCTCAAGCACAATAACAGCCCAAGACCAAACTGCGCTAACATCCATGTGTAGACGAGGGTGTGGATGACTCTTCAATTCCTAGCTTGGTAGAGGTAAGCCTACATACACTGTCACAATAATTGATGTGTCCCATATTCGTGTCGTTTCGTATCTGTGTTACCGTGTCTGTGCATCATACTTTACCAAGCTTCAAATCTTCTTTGTCACGGGAGGCAGAAATAAGAATAAAATATAGTGATACTCTTCAAGGTTTATTAGACTTAAAGGAAGATACTTTCAAAAAAAAATAAAAAAAGGGAAGATACTTTAAATTAGTCACCCGGGGCCCTCTTTTATCAGATGGTCTTTAACTTTGTTGTTATCTCATGAGGTATTTTAATTTTCAATATTCAACTAGCATATCATACTCAATGTGTTTTGTTTTATTGGATGGTCTTTTGCTTTTTTGTTACCTCATGATGTATTTTAGTTTTACATACTCAACAAGCATATTGTACTCATTTTAGTTTTTTATGTTCAACTAGGATACTTTACTCATTTAGCATGTTACAAAATTTTGATTTAAGAAAAAATGGGTTTTGTTTATTCTTTTACAATATTTTGGTAAGAGTATGGAGAACATGGGGCTGGTGGATCTTGTTTTTGCTTGAAAAAATAAGGGTTGGCTGTTGCATTCTTTCACTAAGAAGGGCAAAGAACTTACTACTATAGTTTCTTTTCTCTCAAAATTCAAAGTTTTTGAAAAGGGAGATTCATTGTTGTTAAGTTTTTGGAGTTTTGTTCAACTCTTCGCTTTAGATTTCTGTTGAACAATTTTATCCTGAGTTTTGGTGAGATGTACTCCATTTTTTTCTTGATTTGGGATATGTATTTTTGGTTGAGTTGCCTTTGTTATAATTTCAATGTCCTAGATTCGCATAATAGAAGCAATTTTTTGCCATGAAAGGGTAAGATTGCGCATATCAAAGAATCCTTTATTAGCATAAACTCCATGAATAATGAAAATACATGGAGTTTCCTTTAAATTAAGGAATAATTAAAGTGGTATCTATTAAAAATAAGGTAATTAAAAAAAGGCTTAGATGATTTGAATATGTAAATATTTAAATAAATTTAGTGTTGAAGGATTAAGAAGGTGAAGGGGCTGACCTAAAGTAACATGGACATAAATTATTCAAAATGATTGAAGAAGAATATATTAAATTTTTAGTATCTAAGAAAGAATGGAAAATGGGAATTCATAAAGCTAAACCCCAAATTACTTTGGATAAGACTAATGATTATATTTTTGCATGTCTCTTTAGTTTTTTTTTCTTGTTTGGTTGTGTGGAATTTAGTCTGGATATCAGTCGATCATGCTGATTTCAGAGAAGTATTCAATCTAAACAATACAACTTCTAAGAAATACCTTCGGTACTAAAGCTGAAATTTTAAATTCGTTATTCAATTTTGTGGGAAGATTGTGTAGACATGTTTTAGCGTGAGGGAACATTCTTTAAGATATTTTCTTGAAAAACCATTGTGCATGAAACTACCAGTTTTAATCGAGTGGACATATATTTCTCTTTCAACTAAGACTTTGTTTGGGACAACTTTCGTACTGCTTCCTAAAACAATTTGTTAGTATAAAAATTTCTAATTCAAGAAATTTTTCTACTTGAAAGTTATTTTAGAAAGCAACTAAAAAGCTGTCACAAACTTAGGCTTTGTTTGAGACGGCTTTCTTTCTGCTTCTTAAAGCAACTTCCTAGTACAAAATTTTAATTTTTGTACTAAGAAGCTGCTTTGAAAAGCAATAAAAAGCCGTCCCAAACGAAGCCTAAACTTAAAATAGGTTATTGTGTTTCAGACTACCATTCAAGCATATTTCAGGTTATACATCAGTTACTATAATTAAAACATCTGACATTCAAATATGCTCTCTAATCAGGCCCATCCTTCACTGACTGAATCTGAATGTCAGAAGCTCTGCAAACACATCGACTGCCAAAAACTCTCCCAAGAAGCATCTAACCATGCAGCTCAGAACGACCGCCTTCCAGTTCAGATGACCGTTCGCGTGCTCTACTTCGAACAGCTTCGTCTTAAATCGGCACTCTCAAGCTCCTCCGCAGACGCCGATGGCTCATTTTCTCAAAGGATTATGGGCAGCAGCGGAGTCCCGAGCGCCGCCGTCTCTCCCAGAGACAACTACGCGTCGCTGAGAAGAGAAAACCGGGAACTCAAGCTTGAGATCTCGAGGATGAGAGTGAGGCTAAGTGAGTTGGAGAAGGAACATGCTGTAATGAAGGATGGGATAAGAGAGAGCAAATCTGGAGAACATGGAAGAGCTTTCTTGTCGTCTCTGTCTAAAGGTATTGGAAAGATAGGATTCTTTGTTCCAGGTAATGGAAAACAGCATAAAAATGCAAGGAAAGCACAGGCTACGACAGATGGAAAACCCCACCGGAGACAGCTACGACGGTCATCTATAGCTTGAAAGTTACAGCTTGAAGGTTGTTTCAGGCGGAGCTGATGATCCATTACATCAACGAGGATACACAGCGTAGTTATTTGTTTTTCATTACATGAGGATGGAGAGGAGAGTTCAAATAGTTTATAGTGTTCTTATATAGCTTCGTTTATGTAATGGATATAATTTTCATAAAATGCTTTTTTTTTTATATATTTGGGTTTTGCTGATTTCTGGGTTTTTTTTTTGTTTGATTATTTTTCAAAAAACAGTTTTTTTCTTAAAAAAAAAAAATTCGATTCCTTACCTGTTTTTTTCTTCTTGATTTTATGGTCTATGACTTGGCTAACAAAACAGTTCGTGTTATTGTTCTTCAAACCGATTTTTTTTTTTTATAAAAATTAAAATTGTTAAACTAAAAAATTGTTTTAGGAAACAGCAAAAAAGAAAAAACATCTCAAACGAAGCCTTAGTAAAAAAATTATAATTCAAAATATATTTGTATTGAAAAGTCTATTGTAGAAAGAAATATTTTTTGTCTTCTTCATTTCATAAGCCAAATATGTGTTGTGCATGAATGTTTAATTTATTTGGAAGTCATATATAAATTGCATAATAAACAGAACAATTTTTTTATTAATTTTTTTTTCTTTTATAAAAAATCAGTCTGTAATTATCTCTAATAAATTATAGAGAAAATCTATAGATATGTCAATAAGATTGTAGCAATTAATTTCATGAATTTTATATAATTTTTATAAAATTGTGTTGTATGCTGAATTTTCACATGTTTTATATATTTAATTTTATGCGTTTTACATAGGCTTCATTTGGATAAAAAGAGTATAAATTTAGACTTCATTCGGGATGACTTTTTTATTAGTTTTTAAAACATCATTTTAGAAAAAATTTTAAATTTTTTATCACAATTATATTTTAAAAAGCAATAAAAAATTCGTTCCAAATGAAACCTTAATTAACTCATATGAATAAAAATATCTTATATTAAAAAAAAGTCCCTGAAAGATTCTTATACAACTGATAAAATTAATTAATGATAATTAATTAACATTAATATATTAATTAGGTGCGGCATTACTCATAAAATAACCTGAAAACATTAGATTCATAAACATATGACACATATCTAATGTTTCAAGCCAGCTTCTCTCTGACGACTCCAAAAAAATAATTTCAAATCATCAGCTGATTATAATTTAAAATATCATTCAACCATCCAAAGCGACAAAGCTGTCCTATCCTTAATCAACCTTTGCAATAATAAAATAATAATGAGATAATTATCAGTTCACCTAAACATACACTAATCCAAAATTAATTAACCACTAATCAAGATATATAACTAATGACAATCACATGGTTGCCTGCACATGTGGATTGATCTAGCTGGTGCAGTAGTAACTTTATTTGGTAAATAATTGAAGATTTAGCCATTAAGAAATTGAAGGATGGGTGCATTCCTGGAAGAAGACTGTGGTCCTTTTTGGGAATTTAATGGAGCTAACAGCTAAAAGCTCAGCAAACAGAAATCAATGGAGGGTTATGCTTTTGAATGCTCCAATTCTTAGCTGTTAGTGGGGACTATTGGAATCAAAACTCTTAATTAACATGGGCCCCTTCTATGGCCATTGTGGTTGGCTGATTCTATATATAATGGAATGCATTATGTGTTTTTGGTTTGTTTTGACCCACTGTGTTTGAAATAGGTTGAAATTAACTTCAAATATTACTTTAATGGAAAGTGGATAATATTGAGTTTTAAGGTTTTTTTGTTTGGGACGGCTGCAAGTTGTAGCATTTTATAAAATTGATTGTGAAGTTGTGGGGAAATAAACTTAGCTACTTTTATTGCGAAAAATAATTTTCTAGCATAGAAATTTATGAAAGGAAGTCAGAAAATAGCAAATCAACATTAACTAAAAATAGCTACCAAAAGACAAATCACATTGATTTATGATTAATTAATCTCAAATAATTTTGTGATTGCTAAAAAATCAATAAAAATAGGGATTTTTACATACATAACACCTAAAACTATTGAAAATACCTATCTAACACCTAAACATTAATATTTACTTATCTACCACCTAAAATCTCCATTTTCTTCTATTCTACCACTCCGTTTATCCGCGTGTCCTCTTTCATTCGTTCACGCGAAGAAAGTGTACAACCCATCGGCAAATCAAAATAGCTCAAAGTAACTCACTGCCAGAAGTGTTGGCACAGGCATCAGAACATCTCCATGCGTCGTCTTCCATTCAACTATTGCTCCCATCAAATTCCTAGGGCTCCAAATCCCATCTAGCAACCCACCATTGTTGCCAGATTAGTTAGCTTCATAGCTCATGGAATCAGAACAAGAGGAATTGAGAACAACGACGACATCGAGGATGGAGCAGGCCTTGGAGATGCAGGCTAGGAGGGAGAAGGCTATGTGATGCTTCTGCTGTTGGTACTATCCTCAATGCTATTTCCATCCGCAGGAATCCTGCCAGAGAATGAGATTTGACGCAGAATTTACCGTTTGGAACTCGGCGACGGTAGACACGTCCAAAGATGATGTCGAACTTGCTACTCGGTACTCAACGACAGTAGAAACGTCCCTCCATAGCTTCTCCACCAAGGGCGATGTTGAAGATGTCGAAGAAGTCGAGATTGGAGAACTGGTTGAGGGCGAATTCAGCCAAGGTGTTCGGCGACGAGCCGTAGGCGGTCCAGGAGACTTTGTCGCTGCAGTCACTAGTTTCGCAATAGTCGTTTCTGGAGGCGACGAAGGAGCAGCCAGTTCAGACCCACACACGACAACCGGTGGTCCTGGCTAAGAAGTCGATGGTCCAAGTTTGGCCGCTGTTGAGCTGGATGCCGCCACCGGAGGGCACTGCGGTGAAGGTGGCCACTGAGAGTGATTCGATGCATCACTAGGGACCTAGGTGTGTTAGGTCTTTTTTTTAAGGTGCAAATTAAGCAAAAATATTCTTTCTTTTTCATTGGCTCATCATTAAAAAAAAAATCTCATATATAGCTTACTAGGTGTGCCATCATTTTTTATCATTTTGAACTCTTAGACCTACTTGGGTCTCCATGTTTAAATCTAGCCTTTAGGCACCTAGACCTTAGATCCCAATTTCAACACATTCACCCTAACCCCAGATAGGTTCTTAGACTACAACCATAAATTAGCCACATCGGCTCATCAGATTTTGAATATAAGAAAGAAATAGAGATAATTGAAAAAAAAAATAGAGATAATTGGGAGAAAATTTACTAAAATTATAATAAAAAAAAAAGAGGAAAAAGATCTAGTCGTTCAAAAAGGAGAAGGAAGGGAAAATGATATTTTGTTACATACACAAGATGATGAGGTCATAGTAAACATTATTAGTCATAAAAAATTAAGAATGTATATTGTATTTTTAGGATGTTATGACCAAATGAGATGTCATAAATTTCTTAAGAATGATTGATTAAGTCCAGTCACAACCTGATTCTATAAACAACTCTACTACTGGCTTTGACTGTTTGTCACATACACAATCACAAAAAATAATAATCTTATTCTCCCACAAAATATGTCAAAAGTTTATTGAGTCAATCAGAGCTCATTTAATCACTTGTTCAACTCAATTACAACTTAATCACACTTTGATCTTTTAAAATATCTTATGATTTCATCAGTATGATTTCTTGTGCTCCCAACAACAATAACTGATGAAAAAACCTACTACAACTCAAATAAACAAATGTTTAGTTTCTTTTACAAGAAACTATACAAAATAAGCAAAATTAAATGAAATCTTTTTTAATAAAACTAATTTACAATCAAACCAACTTTCAACTACTTTCAACCATCAATATTCAAAATTTCATTAACATTCCTTGCAATTAGTTGTATTTGGTTGATCCTACCATAGAATGCATCATCATTTATAGATTAAGTACTATTTCAATAGCATGAGGTCCCTGCCAAGCAAAAAATAGGTAGATTGGATCTTCTGATTGAGAAGATAAATTTTGTGACCACCTTCACATGTGGGTTAGGTTGAACTTGTATGGGATCCTTCCTAATATAATAATAATAATAAGTTCAAAAATTTCTTTGCAAGTAGGAGAAATTATTCTGTGCGGTCATCGGACTGTTCGGAAGCGAATAAGAATGCATTACGCACCCGGTACAAAGCCACGGTACGTATGCAGCAAAAATGTGACATGGCGCGTCCTGATTCTCTTCCAGACGGCATCCGGTGAACAGACAAAATAATTTTTCTCCAAGTAAAGCCTATTTGTCTTTGATGAGTTGAATATAATTTACGGTGCTCAAAACATGTGTTTTTACCTTTGGTTTTGGGAAGTTCAAAATAGTCATAGTCAACTTCTCAGCATGTGCTTCTTTATACTGTAATTTTTTTTTTTTTAATCATGGAAGTTAATTCTAAGCTTTGGAATTAGGAATTAGATGATAAAATATTAAAATTTATATTAAAATTATTGTTATATTATTACTTTAATTTGTTTAAATATTTAGATATATATTTTAATATTAATATCATATATTTGATTTTCATCTTTTTTCTCAACAAATCTAAGTTGCTTTAGCTGAGATATTCTATATATAACTAACTAATTCAGTCTTTATCATGAAGCATTAATTTCAATAAAGAAAAATATTCCTTCTACTACCATCTAACTTTAGTTATTCTGGCTGCAAAAATCTGCTTTTCACAACAAAAATTTCTAAAAACATAAAAAAAATAGTCACAAAACAAAACTATAGCTACTATCTAAAAATAAAACGGATAGAAAGCCCTCCTAAATACAATCTGGTTGCAACTTTCATAATGCTTTCTAAAACAGCTTTCTAGTTCACAATTTTCAAATTCAAGAATTTTTTGTACTAGAAAGCTGTTTTATAAAGCAAGAAGAAAGCCATCTAAACGAAATCATAAGCATTCAAAAAAGTTAATTTCTATACAATACCTCTATAATCACTTTATAAAAAGCTGCAGCAATCCTAAACAACTATTCTTCCTAATAAAAACATTTTTTCTAAGAAATTATTAAGAATTAAAAACTCCAAGTAGTAGCATTATTTAGTTAGTTGGCCTCCATAAATAAACAAAATATACGTTCACCAAACGATTTAAATGCTGTCGTGCATGTGATGGAACACAGAAACATATATAAGTAAGCCATGTGCCTATATTTAAATGAGATGGTTATGGTTTCCGTTACCGTTATTGTGTAACGCATTATTAATTAGTATTAACTTGTGTGCTTTCCTAGATATAACGTATACTAAGCTGCTTAATTAATTTATTACAGTTAATTAATTCTTCATTTAATGCTTAACACTAATTTTATAATTAGATAATTAATTGAAACTTTCACGTAATTTTTGTTTTTAATTATCTCTCTTGTAACGTATTTGTATTTGAGACGAGCATAATGTTATAAAAAATGTATTGATATAAACTCAAATTGGCCTAACTTAATCAGTCTAAGCATATTTGAAAACTCCACGATATCATCTAAGAGAGTCAACATTATCCATCTCAATCAGAGAAATCCAATAAATCTAAAATTGCTCAATTCTAATATCATTAAATTAATTAATTGTTTAAAAAATAATTTATGATTAAAAGATGATCAATCAAAAGTGTTCAAAAAATTTATCTGAAATAATTAAAATATTATTTCAAAATTAATGAATATGCCCACAACATGCACATCAGAGGCAGAAATTATTACGCGTGGACTTCGAACATAGAAAACAATTTTTTTATGAGAAAATTAAGAGCTTGAGGTACAAACTATAATTATTCCGTCACGATTATTATTGTATGTAATATATTCATAAACAAATAGTTACATAATTTATTGATCATTTTTTTTTTTTTGTAAAAATGGATCTTAAAAGTATTGTATTTATTTTGAGAAATGTTTAATGTACATTTTAATTGAATTTTTTATATGTTGAATTCATTTTAAAGCAAATATAAGTGTGGAGGATCAATTTACATAAGAAAATTAGCATTATTTTCATAAAAAATAAGAACTAATAATTCTATGATTTAACATACAAGCATATGTTTTAGGTTTTGTTCGAAATAATTTTATTATTAATTTTCACAATAACTTTATTATAAATTTTTTTTAACTAGCTACAATATCATATCACAGGCCCAAACAGAGACTGCCCCAAAATGACTTGCTTTCCCTCGACCCAAACGGCTTCTTTTATTTTCCCCTTTGCTCCTCTCTCACAACTCGCGACCTCAAGTACGACTTTCAGTTTCCCTTTCGCTCCTCTTTAGCCATATTTTTTTTTTAATTTTTTTTATTCTTTAGCCATGCTATTTGCATTATTAATTTTGATCTTACAGCTCCTATTGGCTCCAATAATAAGATAGAAAACAAAACTGTTTTAATGTATTCTAACATTCCAAATGAGATAGTAAACCGCGAAAAATTGATCGTCGGAAAACCGCCGGAAAATTGACCGCCTAAAAACCGACCGAAAATTGCATCTGTAATTAATGATTTTTCTGTAGTGTTTAATTTAGATCTCCTCAATAAAATTTCCTAGCTCTGCCTATGCTGTTGTGGTTTGAAATCCCTTGTATTGCAAGCAGTAGGCGTAAGCATATTTCAAACATAAAAGGTGAGTGGTGGCTTTAGCGACAACCAGCGTATTAGATCTAATGCAATGATAAGTGATGCGAGTCCAATGGCTGATTGAAGAAGGAAGCCGGGGCCCACATTTCGTAAAATATCAGAACTGTCAAAGCTACGGTAACAAGTCAACACGCGCGCTGCCGTTGTGATCGGCTGATCGCTGCGGCGCGACTACCTGCACGTTGTGATGACGGAATCATAAATCTGACGGTCCTGATTTAACTGATTAGCTCACGCACAGTGCACGTGACCTACATTGGGTCATGGCACTCAAGTAATTCTTTTCAAATCCCGGGGTAGTTTTTTAGTAATAAACTGCTTTACTCTGGAGTAGCGCCTTCTGAGTTCATCCCTCCTCACTTAGCTCGGAAAGAAAGAGAAGAAGGACTAATAGTCGAACTCCTCTCTCTCTAGTCTCTTCCCCCTTGCCCGCTCTCTCTCTTTGTAGTTTTCGAGATTTCAGCGGAAACAGATCGGTGGACTAGGTTGAGGAGTTCTGAGGAGCACGCATCTACTCCCTCTATCTATCGCTGTCCCCTTGCATTGCTTCGTTGAAGTAGTTGAAAGCTTCCTTTGAGCTCTACGTCCGTATTTAACTAGAAAGATTTGAAATCCGCTGTCTATTGATGCTGGTTTCACTAAAAAGCTTCAATCTTTGAGATGCCGACCAGGCTAGGCCCCTTCGAACAAATCGCTTCTGGGTATCGTCATTTGAAAATTTTTATTTCGGTTGCTTCAGCTCTGTTAGATATGGCACAAATAACCTTGGCGGTCAAAATTTACTCTTTTTTCTTGTAATGCAGGACATTTCACAGGCGATGTTAGTGGAGAATAACGAGGTATTGGCTGGATAAGGAGCTGGATTTGAGCCGATATGTTGAATTGGGTGAGATTAGGGTTTGCGTTTCGAATCTTTTTTTATTTACTGTCAGGATATTTTTTCGTGAAGGGTGGTGTAAACGTGGGTTAGGTTGGCGCATCTTACCATACCACTTTTTTTAGCTAAGGAAGCTCTTGCTCTCCTTTCAAAGCTTAACACTTTTTTCATCTCTTGAAAAAAGTTTGTTACCCGCTTTTTCTTTGTCATAGCCTTTAGGAATCTAATTCTTATATATTATCACTATCAGATTGGTACGAAACTTCGAATGATTGTCCTTCTAATAAACAAGATTATTGTTTAGAAATGGCTATGATTAGTTTGACCTGATCTATTATGTTTCTCCGTTTTTTTTCTGTCAAAAACCTTTAAAGCCCCTAACACCCCCAATTAAAAAAAAAAAAAAATTCTAAATTTGGTTAAGTATTTTCACCACCTCTCAGTTGAAATCATAATTCTGTGACTGGAAACATTTCTTTTGTGCTATTTTGCCATCTTTATATTGCAGGAGTTTTGTGTTAAAAGATGTCCTGGTGAAGCACTAATGTAATCAGTTTGTGTGAAATTAGACACATTATAGCAACTCTTTAATTCTTTTGTGCTCTTTTGCCATCTTTACATTGCAGTATTTATATATGTTTTTTTTCATGTAGCAAACTATATGTATCCATTGCAAGTAATGGTTGAATGAGTGCTGATTCTTTCATTTATCACTGCAGAATGAAATGAAGAAACTCAAGATACCATTCTGAGAGTTGTAAAGCAATTTCTTCTTTGGCATTCTTAATAGCTATTAATGGATCCTCAGATGCTCTCAGCATCAGTTACTCTATTATTCCTTTTATTCATAGCAAATCCAGTCAGGTCAGATTTAACTGCTGACAAACAAGCTCTCCTTGCATTTGCTGCTGCAATACCCCATGGCAGGAAACTCAACTGGAGTTCCAATACTCCAGTTTGTTCCTTGTGGGTTGGAGTCAGATGCGCACCTGACCAAAGCCGTGTTATTAGTCTAAGGCTACCCGGGGTTGGTCTCCTTGGCCCAATTCCTGCAAACACACTTGGAAAGCTTGACGCCCTTCAAGTTTTAAGCCTCCGATCCAATGGCCTTGCCTCAAATATTCCTCCTGATGTCCCATCAATTCCTTCTCTGCACTCACTCTTCCTTCAACATAACAATTTATCTGGTGACATACCCAATTTGCTCACACCAAACCTTACCTTCTTTGACGTTTCTTATAACTCTTTTATAGGAGAAATTCCCTTAGAAATCCAAAATCTAACTCACCTAACTGCATTGTATTTACAGAACAATTCTCTATCTGGTAATATCCCTGACCTCAAGCTACCAAAACTAAAGCATTTAAATTTGAGCTTTAACAATCTTAGTGGGCATATACCAATCTCCCTCCAAATCTTCCCAAAAGAATCATTCTTAGGAAACTCTTTCTTATGTGGTCCTCCTCTAGATCAATGCCCTGGAACACCTTCACCATCTCCAGCACCAACAACTCAACCACATCACAAAAGAAGTTTCTGGAAAAAATTGGGTATAAAGGTTATAATTGCAATTGCAGCTGGAGGTTTAGCACTACTCCTGCTTCTGGTAATTGTTCTCTTGCTATGTATTTTGAGGAGAAGGGATAGAGAAGACTATAGATCATCCAAAGGGAAAGGCATTGCTGGTTCAAGGGGTGAAAAGCCTGTAGAGGAGTACAGCAGCGGGGTTCAGGAATCTGAGAAGAACAAACTGGTTTTCTTTGAAGGATGTTCATATCACTTTGACTTAGAAGACCTACTGAGAGCATCTGCTGAAGTTCTTGGTAAGGGAAGCTATGGAACAACATACAAGGCTGTTCTTGAGGATGGAACCACTGTAGTAGTTAAAAGGCTCAAGGAAGTGGTGGTGGGGAAGAAAGATTTTGAACAACAAATGGAAATGATAGGAAAGATTGGCCAACACCCCAATATTGCACCACTCCGCGCTTATTACTATTCCAAGGATGAAAAACTTCTGGTCTATGACTATGTTCCTTCAGGCAGTTTTTCGGCCATGCTACATGGTATGTTTATGAAAGTTAAGCTTATTCCTTAGATAACATTAGGTTTAACATAGTTTTCCTAATCCTATTTTTCCATTGATTTCCCAACAACTCATAAAACTCTGAACTTCCTATGAAGCATTAGAAAAGTAGATCAAATATTTCTATTTATTTTGTACTTGAACGAAAAATGCTATAACAGACATAACTATGGGTGGTAGTATGATACTAATCAACCTTAAGAGTAGATTCTTAGTTTTATAAGTGCTAAAACTTTTGGCTTGTATGCGCAATTAGCCCAAATTATGAATTTATATTTCTTAGACTAAGGCTTCGTTTGGAATAACTTTCTTTATGCTTCTTAACACAATTTTCTGGTACAAAAATTTTAATTTTTTACTAAAGAGCTGCTTTATGAAACGGTAAGAAAGCCGTCCCAAACGAAGCCTAAATCATTTTAGATTTCAAGCCTTTGTTAATGTATTGAGCCAGCCAAAAAGGACCTATTGGGATCCTTTGCCATTAGCTGATAAATTGTTAATGCTTAACCATCGCCATGCTACTCTTTATTTGGTGATCGCTTCTCTTCTTGCCTTTTCTGAGATGAGATACAGCTAAGGATAACGATCACTTCCTTAGAACCAGTTAATCATGAAACTTGATGAATGATGAATCTCTACTCTCTTGTGCTTATATGGTCAGGGAACCGATCCAATGGGAAACCTCCACTGGATTGGGACTCAAGAGTGAAGATTTCTTTGGCGGCAGCCCGCGGAATCGCACATATTCATGCAGAAGGTGGGGGGAGGTTTGCCCATGGCAACATAAAATCCTCGAACGTCCTACTCACGCAGGAACTCGATGCCTGTGTCATCGACTTTGGCCTTGCTCCCATCATGAGTACAGCAGCATCTCCATCTCGGGTCGTGGTGGGATACCGTGCTCCGGAAACCATTGAAACCAAAAAGGTCACTCAGAAATCTGATGTGTACAGCTTTGGAGTCCTGCTGCTTGAGATGTTAACTGGGAAAGCTCCAATACAATCACCAGGGCGTGACGATGTGGTTGATCTGCCGAGATGGGTGCAGTCTGTGGTCAGAGAAGAATGGACTGCTGAAGTGTTTGATGTGGAGCTGATGAGGCATCAGACCATAGAAGAAGAGCTAGTGCAAGTGCTCCAGATTGCAATGGCTTGTGTTGCAAGAGTTCCAGATCAACGTCCCAAGATAGAGGAGGTGATAAGAATGATTGAGGAATTCCGACAGTCTGACTCAGAAAACCGCCCATCCTCTGAGAAATCTAAGGATTCTGTTACTCCTACACCATGACAGAGCAAAACAAGTAGCAGCAGTTTGCTTTGTGCCAGTTAGCTTCAGTGGAGGTCTTTCTGTTTGAATTGTTATTATTTTTTGTGTGTAGAACTGGTAAAAAATGTCTTCCTCTGCCTAACCATTTCTTCTGAATTAGGGTGCATATTTATTGTAAACATCTTATATTCATGATTCATAGATGATTGAATTTCTGATTCCAGTTGTGTGAGTTTCTTCTGATGGTAAATTGTTGTTTGTACTCGATTCCATAAGCACAGAGATATTCTGTTCTTGCTTTCTTAATTCAACTCTGAACATTTTCCATAGCTTGTTGCATAAATTATGATTTTTTTTCCATGGGACAAGATCTTAGTTGATCCAAGTTTGAAGAAATCCTTCTTTGTTCAGTAGAAAAGAGCAGCATGCAATATTCATGAGCTGCACAAAGAGAAGTACATCGGAAGGCTGTCGTTTTATATCGTTTTATGTGAACAAACCATCTAAGACGACTCTCTCTAATCTTATCTTCCACTGGCGCTACTCCAATCTTTTCACGTATCTACTCATTTCATATTCTATGTCTAAGGGTAAAGTCAGTCATTCATGTGAGCATCCTCATCTCTGCACAAAGACAAAGTGTTGGAAAAAAGATGTGGCAGCATCTGTGCCAGTTAAAATGAAATGCTTAATTGAAATGTCATACAGTAGTTCATCTTCTCTATCTAATTAGTTGTTCTCTCATCTGTCTCTTAGCTGGTTGATTGAGATATTTTATCTCATAAAAAAAAAAAAAACTTAGATTCTAGAATTGACATAACAGTTTAAATTAATAAAAATAATAGGTGCTAATCCACCGTTGTTTGGTTTGGTTGGTTGGTGAACGAGTACGGTTGGGTACCCCCAGCTCGCGTTTGATTCCTCTCGAGCGGCAGTGCCTCTTCAGTGAGGTACAATCAAGTGCGAGCCATGAGGTTTTTGTGATGGGTGCCTCTTCTAGGTCAGCCAATAATTATTCACACCGCCAAGCACCTCACAAACTGAGATAGCAGCGAGTGGATACCTCGTTCCAAACAAAAAAAAAACCCTCAAGAGTCAGGAGAGCTCTTCTGTCCAATAGTAATTATAAGAAATGAAGGCCTGGCAGAACAAAAAAGAGATCAGAGCTAAATGCTAGCTGTCAGCTCTGTTTGTTCTTATGATGATAATGCTTGTTTATAACCTGCCATGACAATCATTATAAATATGAACTCATTTAATTGAAAAATAAAGTATTTTGTTAGGTCGAAGATCTAGCTGGCTGATTTGAACTTGGCCTGATAAAAAAACATAAAGTATTCACTAGAGGAAAAAATAGGGGTAAATATTTTAATTAAAGTTTTTATTATTATATCTTCATAAAATTTTTTAAGTTTTTTTAATGCATGAATACATGGATTATAATTTTAGTGGCAATAGATTTAGCGGTTGGATTGTGACATGAGAAAATTTTATATGATGATGATGAGACTTGCAATACTTTATGATGCCAAATGTTCTCTATTAATGTTGAATAGTTAAGGATTCTCAGGTGGATGAGTGACTTTACACTAAGCGACAAAAAATGTAAAACGAGTATAAACGTGAAAAGATCGGAGTAGCTCCGGTGGCAAATAAAATTAGAGTCGCCTTAGATGTTTTGGACACATAAAATGCAGAATTTATGATTACTCAATTAGGAGAGTAGATGGATTAGATTTAGCTTATGTTAAGAAAAGTAGATGAAGACCTTAGATTTAGCCTATGTTAATTAGAATAGATGAAGAACTAAAAAGGCTTCGTTAGAAAGTATTTTGAATGACTTTTTTTATTAGATTTAAATAAGAATTTGAATCTTAATAGGACACAAATGAGAAAAAAACACAGTCGACCCCACATTGTGGGATAAAAGCTTGATGTTATTGTTATAATATCATACAATATAAAAATTAATTACTTATTTATATATTATATTTATCTTTTTTTAAAAGTTAAAATTTTAAATGTTTATCTAATCTTATTTATTATTATTATTATTATTATTTGGGTGTGTAAAAATTTAGAGTGTGAGCATTACTCGTAATATTGAAATTTCCTTTCTATCAGCTGTATTCCACCGAAATTTTGTCGGCATAGACCAACAGATTATTGCTCCTATAAACTTCAAATAGAACAGCAATTTTCAGATAGATCAGCACAACACAAAAGCCAAGAATAGTAATGATTGAAGTAGATAAAATACAACTGGAAAAAGGCTAAAGCCAACGAGGACAAAAGAAAAAGAAAAAGAAAAAGACAGAAATTGGACTTCTTAAGATTATGAAATTTAAAAATGTTTAAATTAATATTAAGCAATCTTTAAGAAATTTTTTTATTATTTAAAATGTGCTTATATATTTGAGTGTTTATTTTAGAACAGGCCAATTTTTTTCGTCATTTAAAACATTATAAAAAATAAGTATATTTAATCAAACAAAATACACTTCAATCATTATTTATTCTTAAGGGTTACTTATAAAGAGAACTATTAATATATGTGAGCTTTATATTCAATTTCATATCAAGTAATTAAAAATACTATTGATAGGGAAATATCAAATGATTATTTTATTCACAAATCTTAAGTTTTTGGGTTGACCATTTATTTGTTTGGTTCAACTTGACTCTTCATTTAATTCATCCTCTACAGCAAATAACATCGAAGTCAAGTGATTCGACTGAGATCAAGAGTTTTATCTAATTTGAAGCTCCTATAAGTCTTTTGGTCTTTTCTACGACAGTTGAGACAAGTGTAAAAACGGGTGACTTGTATGTCCCCCAATGTCATTAAGGCTTCGTTTGGGATGACTCTCTTTGACTCTTTCTGCTTCTTAAAAGAACTTTTTAGTAAAAAAATTTTAATTTTTATACTAGAAAGCTGATTTACGAAGCAGTAATAAAACCGTCTCAAACAAAGACTAAATAAGCTCTTAGAACATGATAATGGATGATATTGAAAAAAAACTTCTATTTGAGGAGTGATGATTAATATGGAAAGGTCTTATCGAGAAGTGATTAGTAAAATATATGAGACTCATATTAAATAGTTAAATAATATATTGCATAGAAATACCAAATGATATATAATATTGTTAACATTTTTGGCAGTAGAAGGTAGAGAGCTTAATATTCAAGTTTTGTTCGAAGATCCGAAACGCTCACATATATTAGAAGAGTGCAAGAATTGTAAGAGACATCCAATTTTATATTTGAAAAACCTAGAAAAGGGAAAATCCACAAGATCTGGCCCAGTTAAAATAATTCCACGAGTACTTGTCATCAATTACATGTGATGCATTTCCTCAATTGAAGGCATTTATACATAATATATTACATTGTTGAACTTGAAAGAGCTTTGTGGCAGAAATCTAGCATAAATCTTAGTGATGAAGTTGGGAGCAGAGTTAATGCTGATGACATACATTGATCTTATAAGTTATGCAATTTGTTGGCATCATTAGTAATGGTAAATAATGAAGTCAATACGCATTGGAGTAGCCATGTGATAATGATCAAAAGATTGTAGGTTGACAGACCTTAGTCAAGTGATGATGGTTGGAAGACCATAGTTAGGAAACTGTAGTTCGAAGGATTGTAGTTAGGCTATAGTAGATCAAAGGATTATGGTCGAATAAAGATGGCCGGTGTATCAACCCTAATTTCCCTAAAATGAATTTAATTGAAAAATGAAAATTCTAAAGCGGAGCACTACGACACTGTGCTTAAGAGCACAGTGGTGTCAGGAAAGCGCTGCAACGACACTATGCTCTATGTTTTACAATACTTGGAGCGACATTCATCACAGTGGCGACACATCTTGGGTGTCATGACTCTATATATATATATGCCACCCCACCATACCTCTCCTCTCTCATTTCGTTTCTTTCAAGGGAAGGAGCAGAGGAGAAGAAGAGAAGGGAAAGAGAAGTGAGAGAAGAGAGAATTTCTTCCCGGGAGTTTTCATTTATAATTGTTGTTATGAAAGTTGTCTGATCATTATAAGTAAATTCCACTCTACTATTATTTTTATTGATTTTGAGTTTGGTACATTTCTTCCTTTGTAATCTAGCAAAAATATAATATCTCCTATGTTAGTGAACGTTCACTATATAACTTTTAATATGTGATAGATATTATAATTAGGAGCATTTTAACTAGTTTATATACATGATTTGGCTTATATGACATTTTATATAAAATGTGTAGCAAAAAGGTTGACTGTAAAATGATCAAGTGCTACTATATTGAATATAGGTATGAGATACACGACTTGCATATGATTATCATTCATTAAGCATAACATGCATTTCCAATACATAATACCTACATATGAATAACATACTTATAGTATTATATAAAGCAAATGATTCAATTAATATAGAAAGAATATGATATTTGCATGTAAGCAAAGAAGCCTGACTGTTAACACTAAAATTAATATAAGTTAGCTCTTAAAATAATAATACATTATACAGGAGGATGAGCCGATGAACTTTTTTTTTTAAATATAAGATTTATAGTGTAATCCTAGATGCTATCCCATAACAGATTGACCAAATTATGCCAACAGGTAGAGAGTGATAAATCTTCATTGATTATTCAAAGTCACTTATGAATTGATTTAAGATTTATGAATGATGATGGTAAGATAAAATAGATAGCCAACTGGTGGATAGTTGAGGTTAATATTGTTGAAAAACACTATATTTAAGAATGATGCTCTGTCTTATTCATATATAAATATGAATATATAATATCATTTCATGATATGATATATATTACATACATGATATGATAGATATAAAAATGACATAAGATATATAAATGATAGATGTGACATAATAAATAAGATAGATTGATTGATGACATGATTAATTAATTGACATGACTGACATACAATTAGACTGATAAAATGCTGATATGAATATATGTTATTATGATAGGTATATGGTTGATATGTATCCAATACGACTATATATAAATGATATGAAGTATATGATATTATTTCTATTGACTAATACAAATAGGATTAATATTTCATTTGATGCATTGACTTCAGTTATAAGTATGGGTTACTTGTTCGGCTATACGCTCATTTATTTGATTTTTATATACTTTCTGACAAGGGCAAGGATCTTGTAGATTGAAGTTCATTCATGCTACAGGTTGGATTTTCTTTTTGGATATGTCGATCTTTATATTTTCTTTTGTAGTCATGATATATTCATAATGATGGACTAGTTTATTTTATATC